CGATCTTCGTGCCACCAATCACGCATACCGAGGCATGATGGCCGATGAGTCGAAATGCACAACTCAATATAGGATGAATGCACATGAAACTACAGCTAAAACCTAACTCCATCATGGATAATCCGGAGTGTCGGTGACTGGGGAATTGAGACACATTCCGTCACTCGGAGTACGAAATGTACCTCGTTTCCCGTGCCCGGGCTAGCTCCTATTCTGAACACGATGCAATATGCATGATATGCATGAAATGCGACTAAGATACAATCCTAACATACACAATGCTGTGAAAATGAGATGCCTCGGCCGAGGAGTCGAAATGCACAACTCAATATAGGATGAATGCACATGAAACTACAGCTAAAACCTAACTCCATCATGGATAATCCGGAGTGTCGGTGACTGGGGAATTGAGACACATTCCGTCACTCGGAGTACGAAATGTACCTCGTTTCCTGTGCCCGGGCTAACTCCTATTCCGGACACGATGCAATATGCATGACATGCATGAAATGCAACTAAGATACAATCCTAACATACACAATGCTGTGAAAATGAGATGCCTCAAAATGCGTGCACACGGGCACACAAACCGGGGAAACACATGAATGCGATCTAAGATACAACCTAGTATGCACTATGCTGTGAAAATGAGATGCCTCGAAATGCGTGCACACGGGTACGCAAATCGAGGCGATGACAGAATGCGATGAAATGACATGGAAATGACAAATGGGCTTATACCAACATAAGTGAGCCTCAGCCACACTCACATAGGATGCCGGTGAATAAAAAATGAAGTGCCTCGAAATGCGTACACACGGGCACGCAAACTGAGGCGATGACAGAATGCGATGAAATGACATGGAAATGACAAATGGGCTTATACCAACATGAGTGAGCCTCAGCCACACTCACATAGGATGCCGGTGAATGAAAAATGAAGTGCCTCGAAATGCGTGCACACGGGCACGCAAACCGAGGCGATGACAGAATGCGATGAAATGACATGGAATGGATAGCAATCATTCTAATGGAATTTTAGCACTAAAATATGTGGGAAAACAGTCCCGAAATGAGGCGAAATGACACGAAATGCATGAAATAGTCCCGAAATGCGATATTAGGTACCCGGAATGACCTATAGCTATGCCAAACATGCACAATATGGACATGCAATACAAAGACAGAAGCTAGACAGTCCTAAAAAAGGCATTTTTACAGTTATAAACATGGCCAAACAGCAAGCATAGTGTAGACACCCCATTTTTGACCGACCTTAAGACTCAGACGTCACCGATGGAGCGCTCGGTGATGTTGCATAATGTGCTTGTTCAGAAGTTTCAGAGTCGCGGCCGTGAGCCCTGCCTCCGGACTTCCGAACCCTCTTCTGTGCCTTGCCTCGGTTTGCGAACCAGACTCGGTTTTCTCTGTTTCTTTTCTTGAGGGAAGGGAGAGGTCCCGTAGACCATCTCTCAATGTCCGTAGGGTACTTTTGGTGGCCGCAGGCCATTTTGCCCATTTCGGAGTCCGGTTCCCGGTTTTCGGAGCTGTCAGGCCGTGTGCCTCGGTTCAGGACCGCTTAACCACCTCCTATTGCTCTGATTTTTGGCACGCATCTTATTTGCTCCCTTTTGAGAGACACTGGGGGCTGAGAAACCCACTTCGAGGTCGAATACCATTTTCGGTGCTTAACAGCCCATTTTCGGGACCCCGAACTGCGTGTTTTGGCCCCCGAACATTCGTTTTGCATCGGTTTCCGTTCATTTTTGGCAGGTACCTCTGTTTCATCACCAGGAAGGACGTAGAAGGGTGGGAGGGCAGCAATTGTTTCAGCGACCAGTTATATATCCTCCTTTAGGCCATGCCATTGATCCGTTTCATTGATTAAATGTTAAATAGCCTTAAGTCAACATAGCATAACATGACATTAAGTACTTAAGCTATACACATTATTTAACTTACCTTGTCTCCTTCAATGTGGTCCATCGCCAATATTGAGGCTTATCAATCCAACTGATATTAAGTTCTCTTGCAAATAGCACAAAGCAGTTCTTGTTTGACTTCTTGTCGACAAAATACTTCTGCAATAGGCAGTAATGACAACACAAGCATGGATAGCAATAATTAATGACAATAATGTGAAACCCAAAAAAAAAAGCAATATCATATATGGGTGGCACATATTTTTGGATTTCAAAGTATGAAATATGAAATTATACTGATTCTGCAATAATAGTGTGACTAGTTCATATATGAAATGGGCTTTAAGTAGAACTTGCCAGTTTGTTGGGCTTTAAGTATACTCCAGAGTAGAGCTGCTCACACAGCTTGTCAGGGGAAGACATGCCAATTGATATATTTGCATCTTTCAAAATCGCTAGGAAATTGAGTGGGGGCCTTGTTATTCCTTTTCTTGCTGCAATTTCCTTTGCTTTCCTTGATGAATCTGCCTTGCTGGTTTGTTCAACTTGTTGGATCTCTGAAGCCCCATTAGGCACCATCTAGCCACCACCAAAAAGGAAAAGCAAAATTAAGGAAACAATAGTTATAAAAATTATTAAAAAAAAAAAAACATAATAAAATCTAAATGCTATTTCAGATTTTAAGGGATAGAAAGAAAGAAACAACCACATACATTCACATCTGGTGCACCATCGATTTACATAGAGAAAGAGGACCTCCAGAAGGGGGCTTTGTTGATGGGATTCTCTCTTTTATAATAATCTCTTCCTCTTCATTTTGTATGGAAGTTATTTTATTTTATTTTTTGACATGTCCGAAAGATTTCAGATTCTATCATCAACGTGACCTCCAATTTGGTGTTTCTATCCAGCATTGGAATAGCTGCTGCTTGTTGCCATCACATGGGTGTGTTTGAATTGTTAGCTAGTAGCACGTGGGTTCTGATAGTGCATCAAATCTCTTGCATGTGCAAAGTGTTTGTTTATTAATGGGTGTAAGTGTTTGTTTATTAAATTTAGTGGGTTCTAATGGTGCATCAAATCTCTTGCATGTGTAAATGTTTGTTTATTAATGGGTGTAAGTGTTTGTTTATTAAATTTAGTGATTTGATGTGAAATGGATGTGAAATCTATTTCCATGTTCAAAATTGGTCACGAAGAGAGTTTTTAACACTTTTTTAATGAGGAAGCCTTTATAACTTCAAAGGAAAAAATATATATAAGAAAATAAAGAATATACATCATCTAAGGGTAGGTAGCTTAGCCAACCATTTCTACAAATTAAATTCTATATTTAATCATAAGAAAATTCTGAAAATATAATTTAAGAAGATGAAAGAACAAGAAATAAAATACAAGAAATTAAAGAAACTACATCTAAGGATAGGTGGTTCAACCAACCATTTCTACAAGTTAAATCACATATTTAAGTATAAGAAAATTATGAAAATATAATTTAAGAACATGAAAAAACAAAAAATAAAATGTAAGAAATTAAAGAAACTGCATCTAAGGATAGGTGGTTCAACCAATCATTTTTACAAGTTGTATCACTTATTTAAAGACGAGAAATAGAAAGAAAATAGATGAGAAAATTGCACCTTTGGAGGAAATGATGAATTTTCTAATTTTCAAACTCTGTTCCTAGCACCCTCAAGATTATGTAGTATGTTTTTAAATCTCAACAAGAAAATTCATGTTTTAGCTTTAGTGAAGTTTTGGATGGTATATAATATATATTAGTGAAAGGTAAGAAAATGGAGGTTTATATCTTGATTTGTATTTTATCTCAATTTTGACAAAACAAACTCTTTCTTTGATCAAGGCTTAGACCTCTCTCAAATCAAAAATTTTCAGCACCTTAATCATAGTTCTAATGGTCTTCTTATATAGGCAATTGAAGAAGGTTTTCTTAGTGGAAAAGTGGAAGACAATGTATAATGGAGGTGGATGGTAAGTGGTGATGGTGGTGTGTGATTAGGAAAATGGATGGTTGAGTGTTGGTGGTGTGTGATTAGGAAAGTGGATGGTGAGTGGGAATAGTGGTGTGCGATTTAGGAAAGTGGATGGTGAGGGGGGATGGTGGGGAGTCCAAATCCTCTGCAGGGTTTTTCCTGCAAGGCATCCTGGTGGAGCTGGGGATCAGGGCCACCAAGCTCCGCCGTACGTGAGCTCTCTTAAGAGGATTGAAAAAGAAAACCCCCAGAAGAATGCAGAAATTAAATTGTATTTTAAAATTAAAAAAAATCAGATTATTGCCATTGTAAAATTCTTAGAGCCTGTGGGTGGATTGAGGGATTGGAGGTATAGGGTAATCGGAAGATTGTTTATTAATTTTATTTTTATTTTTTTTATAATGAACCATAAGAAGATATTAATAATTTTTAAATTAATATTAAGTATAAAAATTTAAATAAATTATTAAAAAAATATTTCACATAAAATTTTATAATTAATTTTAATTAAAATCGAAAAGAAAGTATTTTGTATAATTGGTATATCATAAATAATGTAAAAAAGTTATATATTTAAGTCTTAAACTAAATTATATAATGGTAAGATAAATTAAATTTTTACAAAATTTGAGTAAAAAATTCATATAATAGTGATATCAATTAATAATAAAGTAACATATGAAGGGTGAACCCAACACGCAAATATAACTAACACCCTTAGAAATTTTTACATATATATAAAGTGAGATTAATTATATTTGCATATCAATAATAATGGATATTATCTTTATATTGAGATTTTTTCATAAAATTTTCATACATAAAAATATAATTTGTTGTAGTCACTTTATTTTTAATAAAACAATCACTATTATTTTCACAAATTTAAAAAAGTCCTTGATATTTTATTTTAAATATTATTTTTGTTTAAAATTTTATTTATATATATATATATATAAATTTTAAAAATTCAGGAGAATACGTGACCCGTAAGTCTCATGTGACTCCGCCACTGGGGCAATCTAAGCACCTATAAATAGATGCTATACACAGCTACTTTTTTTTTCTTTCTTTTCTTTCTAATTATTTTGATTATGTAACAAATTTAAAAATACAATTATAATATTTATTTATTTTTTTCAATTACAATTTATTATTTTTTTTAAGATTTTTTTTTTGTAATTATTATTTTTGCAATTACAATTTATTATTGTTTTTTGCAATTACAATTTATTGCAATATTTGTTGTAGTTGTTGTGACTTTGGTACAACAAATTATTTCCTTGTAATTAATGATATAATAATACAATCACTTTGAGCAACATACATCAGTGTTACATAGCATACAGCGAATATAACACCCGCCACAGCAACAAATGCGCCAGCCTTAACTGTGCACTTGCTGTTGCAGTGCGTATATAATATTCGCTCTTACAGTTGTCATATGGGGATCTGAGTCCCCTAGCTACATGATATCATCAACTTGGGTGTATTTGGGGTGGTCAGGCATTTGCGGCGTAACATACTTGTTGTCGTCGGGGAGATTGTGCATAATTGTGTCAGATTGAGCATAATTGTGTCAGATTGATTGTGCCAACATATGAAATTATGTAAGTCCATTGACGCACATACGAAGGGCACTTGATCGGAAAATTTTATCTTTGGCATATTTTTCAAAGCCCCCCACCTTGACTTCCAAGCACCGAATGTCTACTCGATACAACTACGCAAAGACGAATGTGCCTTGCTAAACCGTTCGAACTCGTTCTGTGGTATTCGGCTGCGATGGGCATTTTGGTGATAGCGATACCCCTTGTACGGGGCTAGATATTATGTCTTGTTGTTGTACTTGCTATCGACCAAGCAAATGTAGAACAATATAACTTAGAAATATGAAATGGTATTTTTATGAAATCGTTACGACTTTTTCACTTTCGTGTTTACTTTTGCCCTTCATATACTATTGATAAACTATTGTTTACTAACTTATGTTAATAATTGAAATACAAAAATTACAGTAACCCTTCACATAACAAAAATATTCTATTAATTTAATGATGAGATTCCTTGGCAATTTCAAACTTTAAATCGTATGTGGGATCAAATAAAAAAATGTATTGTTCGTACTTGTCTACCCCCTATTTGATTTTTGTTACATACTCCTACATTTTTGTAGTTCTTATTTGAAAATTGATATAATCTGGTTTTTATTGTACCAAGAAACCTTTTGTTACCATCACCTCTGTGATTAATTTTTTACAGTTTGTCAAGTTCATTGTGACGTGGGAATTTCTTACCGGGCGTAGGGTGTGGGAATCGATGTTTAGGCTCGGTTGTTACATAGTGTAACACCCTATTGTCGTGCATGCTCCCATCCCAACTGGCGTACACAAACGTGAAGCACAAATCAAAGTCAAAAATGACAATAATATTTTGCATTGGCACGCCTTTCTGGCCGTAGTATGAGAAGGCGTATTCATTGGACACACGGGCCATAACGTGTGTGTCGTCCAGTGCCCCAATGCAGTCCTAAACAAGTAAAAATTGCTAAATGTAAAATTTTATTGCATATGTTATGAATGACTTCGTCGCACAAAAATTTATACATGATGTCACCTTGAATGGCCGGTACTGCGGCTTGGAGCGTAAATGTGGATGGCCCTCTTATTGGACTTGATTGAGCACAAGACTCCTACTATGAATTGACGTAAATGGTATCATAACTTGCAAAACCTCGTGGAAATGGCGTGACAATGTCTCTTTTGAGTGTTGGAACCGTTCTTGCAAATTTCTCCATGAAATTCCTTGCAAAACAAAAATGAAAATTGCTACATTCTCTTCGAGGGGCACCCCATGCTCCCGCTGCGACACTATCAACCCAAAATCGTGTAGAGTGTCGCACAACAACAAGAACACTGCTCGGAGCATACTGACTGCATCTTCAAATCGGCATTGGTGGCCGTTAAACAACTCGTACATCCATAATCGGCCCGACAAGATTGATATATTTCACGGGACTTTGCAGCAATTGTTGTAATAATACATTGTCGCAATGTTCCACGCTTCTACCAAGTTGTGGTCAGTTTGTACAACCATTTCCCACACATCGATTGCTTCCTCTAACGGTGCATTTCCATAGATGTTACTGGGACTAGCTTCATCCGCCATGTTACGTATATGAAGCTGAAAGGGTGACCAACAATGGAGGAAGAGAGAGAGAGAGTGAGAGAGAAGGGCTCTGCCAACCTTGAAAGCAAAAATGAATTTTAAAACCAATGTGAAGGAAAAGATAGGCAAGGACAATAGCATGACAGCCCTACGTGAGTTGCCTTGCCAAGGATTTCAATAAAGTGCATAATACAATAAAATTGTTGTACTAATATGAAAAAATATTTTACATTTTTCTGAAATGATATAATTTTTCTCACCACAAAATATAATATTTTTGTACACGACAATAATATTTTGTTCACTTTGAAATATACACATTTTCATTTAGTACAATGATATATAATTTTTTTCACCGTATGGTACACACCATAAATTGAACTGAACACTAATCAGTCAGTGAATTTTCATAAAATAAATACTCATCATTATAGTATGTAATTCTTATTGAAAATGATTTTGAAAAATATAGTACTCATTATTATTTTGAAAAAATTATTTCGACAATTATTAAGGGCCTGTTTGGTAACCATTTCGTTATCAGTTTTCAGTTTATATTTACAAAAAATTTAAAAACTGTCATAAAAACTGATAAGCAACCTGATAACCCAGCCACTCAAGCTACGGTTTCAGCACAGAAGGCTTCAGTTATGCAGCCAGCACCACCTTCTGCAGTAGCTTATATTAGTGCATTCTAGAGTATTCTTGAGG